AAATAACAAAGCATGAGCAATTGGAGTAACAATTCTAGCTTTCAGACTATTAGTTTGGCTAACTGACGGATCAATTAATTATTGATATAACGTGTATTTATTGGGGACAAAATCCTGGAAGAGAACGTGGGAATTATCAGGTAGGCCACCGATTAAAAGTCTGCAATAACAGACGATGTGAAATAATAATCACGTTTCGAACGATCACATTAGGTACGTGGGTTGCACTTTTGTTTTCGACAAAACGTGAAAATAGAACGGAGAAGACGGTAGATCGGTAGTCATTTACCAAAAGTCTGATGTTAAAAATCAGCATGAAGGAGAGGAATTTTGTAAGTTCGGGCAATACGGACTTTCTCACGGTACACTCTTAATATCTCATAATGACATTCCCAAGATCAATCATGTTGTGTCCTACCACAAAACAAGAGAGAAAAGCTCAAATATATGGACACTAAGCCAAAACGATGTACTATCAAATCTTTTACTGTAAAAGATAATATTCCTGTATAAGCACGCGTTTCAGTGAATCGACAACAAAACTAGACTATCGCTGCAGATATGGTCCTCTCTGTGAGCAGTTTCGATCCTACTTTTGTGGTTTAACGTATTTGTTGCCTTCTTGAGCTTGGTATACGCCAATTTGCCAATAGCTGGTACCAATACAATCACTGATACCGTTACAACTCTAGGCCTAATCAGAGAAAAGGAAACAGTACCGGTAGATGAGAGAAGCGAAGTCTGCAAAAGCTTCAAACTACTCTTTAATGTGTCACGTTTTAATTAAGAAATGAGCATGTTCACCCGCATCTTCTGTGGATTAACTTTTTTTCAATTTTATTCCTTAATGTTTACATGTCCTAATGCAGCATTGAAAACAAAGAATTGTTTGTCCATTTGCTTCATAAAATTATGTGTCTATATAAAGACACCTATCTATGGATCGTACCCCTACACCAGGGGTCGGGAACCTTTTTGGTCAAGAGAGCCATAAAAGGTACATATTTACAATTGGATTTTTGTGCGAGCCATATAGAATTTCTTCACTTAATCAGGCCTGAAATATTTACGCAAAAGTCAACACATACAATGTCAATATATGTTAATATGACTTCTGATGCTGCATGTTGTTGCTACAGGACTTTAATAACGGCTGCTCATATACAGCACAAGTTGAAATCTACGATACTCATGTCATCAGTCATCACCCTTCTTTTGTTTAGGCCAGGGATCACCAAACTTTTTTGACCGCGGGCCGGGTATGACTCAAATTGTGTTGAAACGGGCCGGATGAATATTTTTGTCAATGCAATACAATAAATTCACAAATGTTGGTAATATCGCAGAATATAGATCGAGAACATCCTAGGAAAAAAATTAACAAGATTTCTATATCTAGACAATTATCCTGAGTTTAGCTGTTATCAAAACGTTGCTGTCGTGAATTAGAAATGTTACAAAATCCGCGGCAAAAAATGTACGCATCACGTCTGCTCGTAAATATATACTACTACGGTCTGCTAAGTACCGTTACGCCGAGTTGAAATACCTCTCATAAAAACGAGCTGTAAAAACCTGCTGTAGCTTGGAATTCTATGAAATTTTGACATAATTTAGATAAAATAAACAACTATTATCTGGTATTTGATTTTTTTCATTAGCGCATAAATTTCCCAACATTCGACGCTTTTGAAAATTACGCTCTAGTTATACGTAGTGCAAATTAATGATATTGTCTATGGACAACAATAAAATGTATGTGGACGTGTGTATTTCTTTCCTAACTTGATACAATTTTTATGAAGTTCGTACAATCAGCACATCGTTAATTATTACCCACAATGAACCACTGTCAAACTATCATGAACAACTCCAGCGTTCATTTGCGACGATCTTTCGGCGGTGCCAATGACCGTTGCCAGAATAAAATTCTGAAATAGTCTCAATAGATGACACATAGATGGCACATCGAAAGATTAGTGATTGATATGTGTTATTTTTCCATATTTAGTTCAGTTCTTATCAAAAAAGTAATACAATCATTATGGAAAAAATTGGCCTGTCGGGCGGTACTAAAATTCCGATATCTCCGTTATTTCTTGACCGTTTATTATAAACTTGGTATTGTTTTCTATTTTTACTCAGATCTTTCCACTGGAGCAGTTTTTATTTAAATCGGATGGACTTTAATTTTTTTGTAACATACCTACATGAATATCCGCATTAAAGCAGTACAAAAGTTAGTGTGGCCTTTGAAATTGGAGCAGTACGCGAGGGATTACAGTACTGCACAAAATGCACATTCGACGTTTATTTTAGCACAAAAAACAAACAGTTTCGTCAAAAGCACGCGCCACGAGTGTACAAGTGTATCGCAGAAAACGTTACGTTATGGTAGCATTCAAAGTCGCAAAAACGAAGTTTTGTTTACAACCACGACTGAAAATCTGTCAGGATGACAAAAGTGTCTGAGCGGACGCGGAAAGGCCTATTCTATTATTACGTCACTATTTTGCATCTTGCCGATTGGCCAATGTTACGAAATAAACAAAGACGACGATGCTCGTGAAAATCTCCCTTGGAAAAAAATTTAGCCATTTTTGTGTGTTATTGCGGACCGGATAAAATGACGCCGCGGGCCGGATCCGGCCCGCGGGCCGTAGTTTGGTGACCCCTGGTTTAGGCATTTCCGTAGTATTTGAAAACTAGCTTTGCTAGTCAGATCTAAATATGTCAAATACGACTTTATCAATTTGTTATGTCACAATATATGTTACAGAATCCCCTAGTTTTGTCACAATGCCTGTCTGGTAATTCTCTTACATGCGCTGGGCTCGCGTTCTCAAAACGTTTTGACAAATTTTCTGCCATATTTGGCTATAAAAGAGTTTCAAATCTCGTAATAATAGTAAGCTTAGCCTCAGAAAGTTAGATTTTTCTGGGAGCCATATGCAGTCACCAAAAGAGCCATATATGGCTCGCGAGCCATGGGTTTCCGACCCCTGCCCTACACCATCACTGAAAACTCTCCAATAACCAAAACCGTATATATTCTGTTAATATTTATTTCTGCCAGCTCTGGATGGTTTTTAATAAATATAGTTATAAAACGCTCATCGTGTAACATAATATGATGAATTTCTACATTTGAGAGTGTCCGTCACATTATGGTATCTGGCAACAATCTCTTAGTCGAAGAATTTCGTGGAAGAAAATAATCGTTGGGTATTTCTTAGGAGATGCAGAAATAAACAACGTTCTTTTGAATATATTTCATTTATCTAAGATTCTATACCTTTCACCTCATAGATTCTGAAATTGCTGGAAATAAAGTGGACCTACAAGACGCTATTCCAAACTGTTTTTGTTGATAAATATAAATCGATAACAAAGCAATTACAGGACCCACCGACTTCAAATATTATATATGTTGCTGTTTTCTACATAGTTATTGGGTGCACACTTCCGTGACAATGTGTGCACGTGAATTTATTTAATGTGCCTGTTTTTATTTGTATTTATCCATTTAACCGTGTTTTTGATATAGATAGTAAGACTCTGAAGTGATTAACAAATTGAATTTAAATCTAAGACCCACTTCTCCCCACCTGCAAAATCGTACCTTTTCGAAAACATCCTGGCAAGAGCTGTAATAAATATATTATTGAATTTGCTCAAGCGGAATCGCACTTTGTTATGTGACAAACAAGAAGTGCAACCGCTGCCGAAGCTCACAAGGTGTCGCTGCATGACCGAATTCAGTAAATAAGTCCGTCTTCTTCTCGTCCGACTATATGTCGAAAATGAATTGAAAGAATTAGCAACATCTACAGAAGATGGTAACTTTTCATATTATAAATAACGTTTTTAAATTTGATAGAAACTATAGAAATATTTCCGTAGCAAAATGTATCAACCTTTCTCGGAATTTCTTATTCTCCATTAGATAGGAAATAAAAAAAAATGAAAAAAACCAATTCCATTACGCTTTACCAAAGTTTGAAGCAAAATTTTATTGAAATACCCCCAAAAATTGTCTCGAATCAGTTGTCTGTTTTGCAACAAGAAGAATACAGTACTTTACATGCTCAAAATACAATATATACATACGGTATTTGTGAGTCTAGGCAATCCCGATAAAGCATATTATCATCTAACAAATGCAAATTTTTCCGCTGCCAAGGTTTAAACATGAATTGCCGAATATCGCATGTTAAGGGAAGCGTTGCCATATTGGCTTTTTAACGTCAAATTTCACGATTTTGGCTTTTTTGAAACACGTTTAGCGTCAGAATTTCCGTTTGGCTTTTTATGTCCATTCTACTGTCTATTATTAAAATCATTTAAATTACAATACCGGTATTTAAGGTGCAACAATAGCAAGCTCATCTACTCAATATTTAGATTTTCCCTTGACCCCAATCAATCAAAAAGAAGCCAACAATGACATAACATGTGCTATCGATTAGGTTGAACTATGAGGAAGTCTGACCTTGGTCAGACGAAACGTTACAGAAATATAAATGTGTTGGTGTACAGAAGGCTATTGAATCACTTAAAATGACATAACAATTGTAGTTTTTGCAGCCGCTCAGGCAGATGTTCAAGCAGGCTTCGTTTTTATAGTTTTGCGTATTACAGTGTTATTTGTCAGTTTTTAGTTATGTTTCCAAAAAATAGTTGTATGCCTTAATTCAGTAATTGTCATTTTGCCTTCCGAGGAGCTTTAGTGGGGTTGCGGTAATCAAAATTCTCGCAAACGACGTGATTATCTAGGGCCTAGGCTATAATCGGAAGTTATTGTAGGATCGTTTGTCAGTCTAGACACGCGATATTTGGCACTTCATTTTTAAACCTTGGCAGCGGAAAAACTTGCATTTGTTACGTGTTCATATGCTTTATCGGCTTGTTGGCCACCCCTGTTTTATACTTAGACATGACATTCAAGAGCGTGATTCATCATCATTGTTCGCATTTTATCTTCTAATTTTTTAATTAAGGCGCAGTTGACGTTAAGTTGAGTTCTTTTTAAATAATCTTCAGAGATTGAAGTTCAAAACTTGACACGTATATCAACAAGATGACGAAAGTGACATACAAGCTACTGATTAAGGTTAGTTATAATTTCTTAGTTGACAAATTTTAATTTGTCAGAGATGTTAATTTGCGTTTAATTTAATTTCAAATAGTCTATATCAATATATCTTCTCATCTCTGGTGTCTTATTGTAAAATCTGGATTTCCAGGCTGGTTCTTTGAATTTACTTCAAAGGCTAATTTTTCCGTGACGGCTATTGTACGGCATAAATTAACTTCTTAAAATATTACGAGAATTCTTCTGGTCACGCTGTCATTTTAGTGTCAACCACACAGTTAGTTGTTCATCCTTTGCAATTGCCGTTATTGTTGGCATACTTTTATGCGCATCAAATGATGAATTCAAACTTCGGTCAAATGATCTTCGAATATTTTCTATTTTGAGTGTAGATATTCAGATCAAATTTTATTTGTTCAATCTTCTCCGTTATTTAGATGCATAAAACACCGCCTAAAAGTTTCATTCTTTGTCTGTGGCCTCTACGGTGTGGCTCACTTTTTGAATAAAATTTTATTAACACTCAATTTAATTATTTGTTCCATCTTCAACGACCAGTAATGGAATGACCACCTAGAGGCGACTGGTCGATGTTCCGTACGTATTACCGTAAATAACGAGGCAACGGTCCTATAAACTTAATCTTTGCTATTGATTCAAGAAAGATGCGAGATTTTTATTGATAGAAAAGAAAACGAATTAGATAATATTTCCGACAGTTAAACTTTTTTAAATGCATGAATACCTTGACTTCTGGACTTGAAGTTGTCCAAAGCAACCGTAACTTTAATTATTAGTACAGACGGCATACACGTAATAAAATGATTTGAATCGACTAACTTCAGGTTTGTACCCTGACAAACATTTAACCATCCCAATTCTACAACAATTATTTAAATTGAAAATGTCAGTTATTTAATGACTTAACACTAACGCCGCAACTCATTTCAGACATCAAAACTGTATGCAGAAGGTGCAACAGATTCAAATGTCTCTGTTCAACTAGTTGGCGAAAATAAATCTCATACAGATTGGCACACGCTTGACAAATTTTGGCGAGATGATTTTGAACAAGGAAGAACAGATGAATTCACGATAGAAGACAAGGAAGTGGGGAGAGTCTTGTTTGTACGATTCCGTAAGTAATTCCATTTTTTTAAATTTCAATGACATACTTAGCATAAAAATCACACATCTTCAAATACCAGAAGCTGTTCCACAAAATCGAATTCAAAGCTCAAAAATAAAAAAAATAGACCCATTTCGATCATCGAATACGATCTTTGAAATATGTCAAAATTTTCCATAAGTATACAAAACATGTATGCTTCGATAAAGCAAAAGTTAATGTATAGATACGCCCAACTTGCTTGAAATTGTATTTCATCATAAAAACGTAGTTACAAAATACTACACCCTAGCCAAAATAAACGAGAGAATATTGAATACTACTTTGTGTGAGGTTTTGTGGATTTCATCATCTCATTTTAAATGAAACTATTCGTATTCAGTTGTAAATTGTATTCAGATCTAAAACATGGTAGCAAAGAAAAGGATTTGTGGGCATGTGACAACGTAATAATCTATCATGGTAACTACGTTGACGAGTTTCCGCTGTACGATTGGGTTGTTGATAACTCTGTAATTGTACGAGGTGAAGGTGAGTGCTCTTCAAACAAATACCAACTGAATATTTATGGGATTTATTTGTGGAAATTTATAATTTACTTTATGGAAGCTAACACTCAATTGTTTTTATTCTTGACAAAACTCTAATGAATACCCGTACTATATGAAAATCATCATATGATATGTCCGTAATATTGGCGTTTTTTTAGGACTGATTCCTCAAAAAATAACGTCCGAGGAATTGCTAAAGACTATTAAAGAGGAACGAGAAAATAATCTACATAGATTTGCTTGGATTGAAAAAGCAAAACCAGGAGACCCCGGGTGGATGATGCCTAGATTTCCACCTGCAAAAGATTTACTCAATGTGCCCCATCAATTGAAAATGGCTGACGCAAGATTTGAACACATGTCTGAAATGAGAAACGTATCGAAGTTTAACGCTCTTGTCGAAAAGTTACAAGGTATTTATTCCCATGTTTATGTTAACTCTACAATATTTCTTCTTTATTTAAATAATCAAAATTGCAAGTTAATTGAGCAATACGCATGGTATTACTGGAGATCATGAGGTGATATATCTATATACTGGTCTTTTGTTTGTGATTCTCGACGCTATTCCGCATTTCCAAGCAAAACAACAATTACTGAAAATCACTATTTGATGCTATGACTCATGATGTAAATATTGTTTATTCAGGTTATTTGTTTCCGATTAAAAAGCTGGATGATTACAAGAATCTCTTCAGTGGATTCAGAATTTCTGGAGATTTGCTCCCGTTCATTGAAAAGTATAACAAAATTGTTGAATTTCTTGTTGTCTTGTCTCGTTGCATCAAACAACACGGATAGTCGCATAATGTACTTCTGGTATCTCATGGTTACAATTTTTTTTTTTCTATCTGAAGATGGGAAGAAGACGAAGAACAAGGACGACAGATGTTAAATGGTGCAAATCCTTTTGCAGTGAGTCGTTGTACAGGGTTACCAGAATATTGTAAAATTACAAATACTCATGTAGAACGGCTTTTAAATGACGGTAAAACTTTGAAGGACGAAATTAAAGTGAGTACATATGAATTTGAGTAAAGATAACAATGAAAATCCTATTTTACAGAATGGGTGCGATTAGTTTTAAACGTATGCTCCGTAAATCACTGTTAAATATATAAAGTAAACTGTGACTTTTTAGATTAATTTTTACTAATCATAAATAGCGAATATAGATTTGTTTTTCTCATTATTGACTGTGGCGATTTAAAGCTATTTTTCGGGGTATACTCCTGGCTTGTAGAGTCATTATAAAAATTTCACTATTGTGATACATCACATAATATCATTGGCAAAGGTATTTATTTATTACCAATATGGTAACGATATTTAAACTAATTTTTAATTTTAATCGTCGCGTGAATATAATACATTCCATTATTTTATCCTATTCTAAACAATTCATTTTAATTTCCTTTGTAGGAAGGACGAATTTACATCGCAGACTATTCGTACATGACTAAGGGTCTGCCCAGAAACAAGCAATATAATGGAGATCCTCTCTATTGTGCGGATGTTACAGCGTTGTTCTATTCATCTGGCGACGGCAAGTTTCGTCCAATCGCAATCCAGTTAGAACCAGACAATGCGGATTCCATTTTCACTCCAAAGGATGAGAGATATGACTGGATGTTGGCTAAAATGTACTTCCGATGTGCTGACACTATTGTGCATCAGGTTAAATGGTTACAAATTACTTTGTTCTTATAAGTTTCAAAGCTTCGTAAGAAAATCAAAATCAAAGTCAGCTTGATTTTGAAAAACATTGTTATTCTTGTGCCAAATACCGGTATGAAGCACAACGAAAGGCAGTTTCATATTTTTTCTTGGCTTCGTTAAAACAATAAACTCATCTTCATTCAATCTTGCATAAGCCGTTTCAATTATCGCATCAGTCAAAAAAAAAATTATATACTGCATTTTTATTGTATTACCGTACGTGGTTTTTAATTTAAATTTGTCAAGGTTGGTGCAGAGTTTATTGCAATATTAATGGATGTTGTGTACCACGTGATAACACCGCTCAAATAGCATTTTTTATTTCAGTGGATATACCATTTTTTATGGGGACATGCGTTGCCAGAAACAGGCGCTGTTGCAATGTTCCGAAATCTATCACGAACTCATCCAATCTACAAGCTTGTTCGTCCTCATCTTCAGAATATTGTTGTGATTAATCAATTCGCAAGAGACATTCTTATCTTTGATAACAGCACTTCAAACTATACAAGATCTATAAGTAACTTAAATGATGGTGTGGTTTGAAATATATGGTATAGGTTGCAATTTTAGTTTCGTGATTTTGATCTTGCGTACTGAATTAGATACGGAAATTTCACGTAGATTTCAAAGCTAAATCATAAGGAATAATAAAGTATCAAAACCCACCTAAGGCTTTACCAATAACTCTTTAACTATCTGCAAGATGTAATACATCTCGATAATAATAAGAAATAGAAATGTTTGTTTCTGGCATCATTTTGTCAAATATTTAGCAATATAGTCATGAAAAAATGAAATAAAACGAATTTATTCATTTATCACAGATGGTGCTGCTTTGGCAAGGCATGTTTTCAAAGATTTCGACTTTGACAATCTTGTCCTCCCAAATTTGCTGAAGAAAAAAGGTTTGTTGATTTATAAACATTTAAACTTTTGCCGTTAATTTGAACTGAAATGTTAATATCCTAAAATTTATTGGATCTGAAATTATACTGATCTTTTGCTTTTGTTTTCTATTGATATCTGCTCCGAAGAAAAGTAGTGTCATTTGATGTCAATGCTTCTCTTCTTCGGTCATAGTTCGAATAAATGTTTAGGTCTTGATGACTACAATCTTCTGCAGAACTATCATTACAGAGATGATGCCACCGCGTTGTGGAGCACAATTGAAAAATATCTTTCAAAAGTCATCAAAATATATTACAAGGCAGATGAGGTAATGCACGACTTTTTGCTTAAATAGACGAAAAGACTTGAAAATTTAGAGAACATGCATTGTAGTGTCCAGTAATATAGATATTGCTAATGTTCACGGAATGAGTATTGTAATGGAGACCCGAAAAATAAATGGAAAACGGAAGCAGGATTTCATTCTGTCGAGAGTTTCAACTATGAACAGGTTATCTTGATTATCAATTCGATGATACATTTTATTTGATTATTTCTTGTTTTCTATTAACTTTTCGTCTTAGTCGATATCAGAAATTAACCGATTAGAAATAATAAAAAATAGCCTCCGAAAACTACTGTAAATGAGGAAAAATGACACTTTATATTGTTTATTAAATTGGGTAAGTGGCGTCATTGTCATGAATTATATCATACAATACAAATACCCACATATGTAGCCTACTTTGCCTTGCTATTATTTAGTTACTGAAGCCTCTTACATTTTGAGAGATACCATTTGCAGAGATCATAATCTTATGAAAGAAGTAGATTTGTTGTAGTACAAATGCAACCCGAATATGTTTTGCATGTCGCGTATAGTGATGCTTTTTTTTACCAATTTATCATTTTGCTAGGACGTGCGTGATGACGAATAAATACAATCGTGGATTAATGATTTCGCAACTGAAGGATTAGCATGGCCAGATGGAAATACAAAAGGATGTCCGACCAGTTTAAAAAACATTGATGAATTGGTTAGAAACACATTTTTTTAATTGCATTTTCATTCTTTCATGTTTTTTTGAGGCAAATTTGAAAATTAAATTTACTGAAATAAAAAAAAGGTACTGAACGAAATATTGACCCAATAGTGGTTGGTATATAATTTCGAAATATGGTATTGTCCTGCGAGTAACCTGATGATATCGCTGTAGCGCATTTTAGGAATGTCATTCGTCCCCGTATATTTGTCTCTCATATGAAGGAAATAAAGCGGCACTACTGAAGTGTAGAAACCCTCCATAATACAATTATTACTTCTTTGGAAGCATGAATAGGATGAAGGAACATCTGTCACGATGGTGCAAAAGTTTCAATATATAATAGTGTAATTTATTTTTAAAGATTTCAAAAAACTATTCACAGACATCTTGAAGCCTTAAAATTAAACCTTGCCCAAATCGACCGCAAATTAGTTACTGACGTATTGCTGAGAACTCATCGCGTGATTTCGCAATATGCATTCAGTGCGCTCCTTGTTCTCATTTTCATTATTTTGCTAGTTTATTCTATTTTGCGTTGTCTTTGGAAAACGCTGCAGTAGGTTAAAATATATAGCAATGTATCCAAATAATATCATTGCATTATTCAAAATAAATGCAAACTAGGGTCAAAATATACTTGATCTCCTTGCGGAACTATTACGAGCGACGGGATCCAAACGTTTCTCTTATCTTGGAAACTACACAAGATTGGACTGGAAATCTTATCTTCCCCTAATCATACCCCAGCATCATTTTACAAATGTGTTCTTAATAGCACTGTAAATTGGAGACATGTCGTATACAAATTAATTGATAAAATAGGCATATATATATATGAGTTCAGGATTAGATTGACAGACAGATAAATAATGTTTACATGCAACATTGTATAGTTTCATAATAATGTGAATCGAATAAAAATTCGAAAGACTGCTTCATCGAGACACCAAACCATTACTGGGTGTCCACTTTTCCCTGGTAGTGGTATCGTACACTTGGGGGTAATTTACCGATTTGAACTGTCCAGTCGTTCAATGTGTAACTTCTGTCGAGTATTATTCATCGCCAGATCTGCAATATGTTCAGTGATATATTCTGGTTCAATCATTATCTTTTCCATAACATCTTCATTGTTGCACTTCATCTCTTACAAAGTTACGTCAGTCCAAATTTGGTTTATATAACAGTCTAAATTGATAGTTTAGATTGAAAGTGTATTGTCAGTACTGGTAGTCTATGTTTACTGCATAAAACGTCATCGCTTGATTGCCCTGACCTATTCTTATTGTCTTCCTATTCCTATGCAGTTTTGTTTGACATACAATATTATTTTAATCTTCACGAAACTACGCGACGGGGAATCAGAATTAAATACAGAAAACGAAGGTCGAACACTTTACTCGGAAATATACCTGAAATTATGGCCTAACCCTAAATTGGTACACATACTACGTTCCAGTGTCCACCATCTTAGTTCACATAGTTCGGGAGTACCATTTATCAAATAAAAATTTTTGGTGATAACTTACGTTCTATTGCTTAAATGCTGAATGATAGTCGTTAACTAACACAATAAAACGAGTTGACTCGTAAATTGAAATCTTTACAGGTACAATTATGTACAACTCTTGTCTTCAGCAGTTCTGTTCAGCATTCGGCAACACACAATGCAATATTTGACTTATATAAATTCATTCCAAACGCACCAGGTGGAATGAGACTTCCAATACATAAAAGAGGCGAGGTGATTGTATAATGTTTGTTATCTTATATATCAGTGGTTCACAAACTTTTCAGAGTTGGGACCCACTATTCATCACAACAGGTTATAGCTACCCATCTCGTGATTTCACAATGCAATTTCATTTTTGAGAAATGAACACAAAAGACCATCCAAAAAAAACCATAGTGTTATTCTTCAAAAGAAAATAAATCTAATTCCTGTCTAAATTTCGGGGAAACACGGCAAGAAGTGATGTACAGTGTACAAAACTGCTATGCGTAAAAAAGCCACATGGTCATTCTTCGTGTAGCAAATTTTTGTTCCTTTGAGAAGATCGTAAAAAGGAAACTTTCACAGATTAGAATTTAAATTCAATTTAATTTCTTTTGTTTTTTTAAGATTCACGTATTCGCGTCATCAGCGATCCTAAAAACCAGTATAATTAGTCAAAGCTTTCTACGTCTTCACGACCCACTAAGATTCCTTTTGCGACCCACAGTGTTGGAACCGCTGTTATATATCATTGTTGAAAGTAATAATTATAGAAGTTTCATATAAGATTCATTTGTCCGTGCACACAGGCAACTCTGCAGCGAGTGCTGGATTCTCTTCCTGATATTACAATGGCCACGATTTTGCTTGGAAGTTCCTTCGTTGTGACAGAATTGCCAGAAGACGAGGTGGGTCTATCATATTATACCTGTGGTATATAACAATATTTTTATGCAGTTTATTTATGACATTTATTAATGACGGCTCATGTTCTTCAGGAATTTAGAGTCTGTTGTATATTAAAACAATATTGCCTTGCAACTTGAATCTTTAATAAATTCGTAATTGTGCGATTAAAACATTGATAAAATTGATACTTTGAATTTCTGCATTCTACCTTGGTATATTTTCAAGTCCAATAACAAAAGAAATTTACATATTAATATAAGCAAATATACTTAATTATTGAATAATATATACAGGTTTATCTCGGAGAATTCCCCATGAATCTGTTTATCGAGGAAGAGCCGAAAAAAGTCTTGAAGGAGTTTGCAGATGATCTCAAAGTGGTTGGTGATAAAATGAAAGAACGAAACAAGAAATTGGAATATCCATACGAATATCTTTTACCAGAAAAAGTCCCTACCGGAACTACAGCCTGAGTAGAACTATATATAAATGTTCATTTGGATGAAACAAGTCTTGTTATATATAATGCTTATGGAAAAACTGAGAGTGTTTATTCTAAACTAAATTGGCTAAGAGCTTCAAAGTTGAGTTTGAATCGCAATATTTAACTGTAAATATATCAGAAGGTATAGCAAAATATTAAATTCAGGAAATGAAATATTCCATTTTCAAATTTATCTTATCTTATCTTATCAATTTAGCTTATCTTTTATTTAGAATATTCATGTTAATCAAGATATCCTATATTAACGGTTTATTTTTCTGCATCAATGAATATATATATATACTTATATGCAGTAAAAATCATTGTGTTTTATATTATGCTGATATCAACAAAATTGGGCCAGTTTCGACAAAAAATGATACGGTGACACGGGTAAGAGCTCACAGCCAACCGAGTTCAGAAGAACACAGTTCATTCTAATACCTAATATCTTTAATATTTATTGAATTCGCTTTTTGTGCGGTCGCAGGAGAGCCAGCGCAAATTTTTCAGCAGTGCTACAGGGACGTATCAGTGATTTGTACAGGTAAAGTATGCATTAACGGGACAAGCATTCCCAGCACTGAGGTGTTTCCAAGTGAAATGCTTGGAGGTGACGAGCCCGACTAGACGAAATTCGGGTGCTCTTGTGGGAGTTACTACACGTACCTGTTTCAACTTGCAACCAACCTTCAAATCCGCGGTACAGTTAGGGTACTTGTAATCGAGAAGATAAACAAGTATATGTATAACCAGCTTCTGACCGCTGCCACATGCCAAACAAAAACAAATGCAGAAAAAATCAATCTCTTCTATGATCGAGGAGATTGTAAATAGACTTAATTAAGATATAAGAAAAACGGCATGATGATTTAGTTTAGCCTACAGCCGAAACAAACTATTTGTCTTCATTGCTGTAAATCTGTTCCAGAAACTGAGTACAATAATTTGGGCAAAATTTCCGGCAAATAAATATTTTGTTGATGGCCCATTACAAAAAGTTTGAACACTACTCATTTGCTTTTTTTTTATTTTCATGGAGTGTTGGATGGTATTTTCTTGAATAGCTCATCACATTTTAACCTTTGCATGCGCATGTTTCTTACTATTTTCTTGGTGTGGGATCTTCTTATTACATATGCATGGCTTTTTTTGTATGAGTGGCTGTGTCTATGCGGGTTGTAGGCAATATAATATAGTCCCTGCAAGATCATAATTAGTGTAAATAGACGAGACGCTATATTGGATTCTCCCCTTCAATTTTTAGTTTGCTGTTGAATATGAATTGAATATGAGGCATATGAATTTGATGTGGTTCTATCTTTCATGTAAGCATACATGTATGATACAAAAAGTGACCATGCAGTCAAACAATTTCTTTCCTGGAGCACAGCTTCATTATCGCATTTCAAACGATTGGTTCGAGCTTGTAAGAGTGCGTACAAGAAACCAATGTGATACTACATTATTGTGTAACCATCCCAAACAATTCTTGTCTCGTGCTAAGCGGATCATTTTAGAGGACAATAAGAGCCCACTTCCAGCTAGTGTTGGGGGTGCCACCGGACAGAATGAAATTACTAATTTGGCATATTCTCATCCAATTCCATCAGTGCTTTTATGTTTGTACATTAACACCTGTATGAATCCTAGGTATATTCCAGCATCCTCCCTTTCAAGTTCAATTCAGCCTATAATTAAGAACAAAATTAGTGACATTTGTAGCGCAAGTAACTAATACAGACCTATTGTAGTAGCCTCTGTCTTATCTAAGATTTTTGAAAAACACATTTTAAATAACATTGGGTCTTACTTATATCTCACAACCAGTTTGGTTTCAAGCCTGGTCACGGGACTGACATGTGCATTTTTACACTAAAACAGCTAGCTACTGATTATTCCAACAAATCATCACCAGTTTTTATAGCTTTTTTGGATGCCACTAAGCTTTTGATAAAATTATTCATTGGACTCTATTTTGTAAATTAATCAACAGGAGAATTTCTAAAATATTTTTGTCACTGATTGTACACATGTACTGTGAAGTTGGAACGTGAATTCCAATCCACTCAACGATGTTGTAGTGGAGTCCTATTTCTGTATTTTCACCCGCACCCGTCTTGAAGAATTATGCGCAATCTCAAAGCCTCTAATAACTGCACAACCAAAATAGTAAACAGGCAACGACATCCTTAGAAAACGAACTGTATTCATCAATCCCACATATGAGTAAAATGTTGCTACAGCACAGAAACTTGAAGACCAACGATAAAACTAACTTATAAAGGCACGGATGCACTATTACAAATAAGCAATGAAAGAATGATAAAATACCATTCACAATAACAAGCAATAATAGTCAATACTAAATAGAACTTAATTAAGCTGAATTTATATGGCAGATTTCACGAAACGCGCGCACCCCTATGGCAAACTAAATTCAAGGCAAATCTCAATATTAAACGACACTTTCACAATTCCACATTGTCGTATAGAACAAAGAATCAGATGAGCGTTATCTCATGACCCGAAATATAAATGGCAAAAAGTGTGAGACGTGCGAGGTCAAATCTAACATGTACCGTAATCAATCCATGTCTGTTAGATGAGGTAGCAATGTGTCAGATCCTTTTTCTGTGCATAATGGTACCAAGCAAGATAGTATCTTAAGTCCATATTTATATTCTGTTTTCATGGATGACCTGTCAAGTTGAATCAAGAGACCATTTGATGTGTAGCAAATAACAATATTACAAATCAAATTTTTTATGCTGATGGGTGATGACATGTGTTGCATTTCACCTTCAGCCAAAAGCCTTTAACGTTTACTCAATATATGCGAAAAATACTCTATTGAACATGACATCTTGTACAACTCCAAAAAATCTGTTTGTATGTGTATCCAGAATAAAAAGTTCAAGCTGAATATTTTGCCTGATATCAAACTTTGTAATTCTGTATTGACAAATGTTTCGTCCACTAAATATCTTGGTGTTTTCCTATCCAAAGATCTTAGAGATGACCTTGACTTGAAACGTCAGTATAAATCAATTTATTTTTTAGCCCATACTATTTTTGTCAATTGTTGAAAATTTGTCAATTGTTCCACTACTGTGAAAAATCGTTTATTTAGGACGTATTGTTGTAGCATTTATAACTGCTAGCTCTGGTTGTTTTTCAATATTTATAATTATTATAAAGTTAAGATTTCATATATATAATAATGCTTTTCGCGTAATTCACTGTGTTTCTAGATCTGAGAGTGTCCGTCACAAAATGGTATCTGGGAACATTCCTTCCCTCTTTCGAAGCACTCCATATAAAAAATCTGTGATTGTTTATGACGAGATGCAGTAACTCTAATAACATCCTATTACAATCACTATTTAATTCTCAGATAATGTTTGTGACGGACTATTTTGGATTTTATACTTCACTTTGGCCTCTTAGATTACTGTATTAATTCTTTTTTACATCTAATGTGAATCTGATTTTCGTATCAGGTGTCTTTATGTATTTATTGTGTAATTTTTGTATTTGCTTATGTTTATTTGTTTGTGATATTTTTACATGGACCGCAGCGGTCTGGATTAATAAACGAATTGAATTTGTGTTTAGGTATGATGAGGAATAGCCAAAGTGTGGGTAGTGTGATATGGTCTTTTGCATGGTGTGATAATTTCTCCTGTGTTCCAAACAGAATTTCCTCTTGGGTCCTCCAACCATCAGTATATAATGATATTTAATTTCATGATCAAAACCTCTTTGAATCAGTTGAAGGAATTCTTTGTCTCAAAATAACAGTTCACGATGTTCCAGTATATGCAATCATTGAAACATCTACTTGCAGATTTATTTTCCAGGTTGCTTCACAACGATCAAATGAAGACTACATCAAAAACATTTACAAAGACTGATGAATCATCCATGTTATTATTAAAGTTCATTAATCGCTGAGTGGAAAAGTCTTAGTTGAAATTACTCAAAAGTCCAAGACCAACTTTATTCTTAATTCACATAAACGATATTGTCAACGCTACCAATGCCTCGATCAAACTTTTTGCAGATGGAAAATAAATCCAATGCAAACTTACTAAATATATCAAACTGGCTATCTCGAAACAAGCTTACTGTGAATTCTGGTAAGACGTAAGTCTTGTTAAATATTCGTGCCAAAATTCATAATTCTTCAAACGTAATTCATAATTTACGATGGGCAATTCTATATTGACTACCTATTATTCTGTGAAAAATCTAAGAGTCATTCTTGATTACAAACTGACCTGGCAGACACATATGCACCAACTTACTGGTACGCTGTCAAGAGCACTTGCCAGGGTGCTATGATAAAAAAGAGTTTTAAAACCTGTTTATTTTTCTCTTGTCCACTCGCATCTTCAATATGAACTGTGGCATGGGACTCTGCCTCTAAGACTTATCTATATGGAATAGGTGTTCTATAAAATCGTGAACTGAGATAAATGACTAGCACAGCTCTGCGACGAAACCTAAGTCCGATCTACAAACACATGAACATCCTCAAACTTACGATGTAAACAATTTTCAAGTTGCCAAAATCTTATTCCGACCAGAATGTCTTTAAATAATAAAAAAACCTGTTGAAACTTATCCACTTCATTAGAAAAAAAAACGCCATGCGCTGTAAATAGTATACTTGTTTAAATTTGTTTGTAATTTTACGGGCTATGATGATATATGAAGTACCGTAGTAAAACGAGCAGGAAAATTTTAAAACTACCGGTCTAGCCCAGCTTTATTTAATACACAAATACAAATATATTGGTATTTGTCTCCAACGAACATCAGCTTGACGTCATCTTTATTTAAATATTTAACAAACAATTTTTCACTGTTCCTTCTTATTGACAAAATCGATGTTTAATTTAGCAACCATTATGAAATTATTAATATAACGTGGCAGGTAAATTTTCATATTTTATTATTTCTTTGTTCATCAAGTAATTTATCTACTCTACAGTTTCTCGCGTTTTTTCTGACTTTAAATCCATGTAGTCTTGTGTGAAATACTTATAAGTTTTTTTTAGGTTGGTGAGAACGTACCGCCCCCTTAAATTTTGTACGCTTCAAACTACGGGTTTCCAAAGTTGATTGGCCGCAGTCAAAATTCGTAGCAGAAGGATA